GGGGAGGAGGGCAGACAGAATGCTGACATCTTAACCCAAGCAAAGTTCACACAGGAGTGAGGACAGGCATAGAGGCCTTAGTAGAAGAACTCTGATGAGTGCCTATCCGATGCTCTGTCTACAGTGCCAGACTCTGCAGGCGTCTGTGGTTGATGCCGAGAAGCGTGGGGAGCTGGCACTCAAAGATGCCAATAGCAAGCTTACAGAGCTGGAGACTGCCCTGCAGAAGGCCAAGGAGGAGCTGGCCAAGATGCTGCGCGACTACCAGGATCTTATGAGTGTGAAGCTGGCCCTGGATGTAGAGATCGCCACCTACCGCAAGCTGCTGGAGGGCGAGGAGAGCCGGTGAGCGGGTGGGAAGGCAGGGTGGGTGGGAACTTGACGAAGGGAGAGACCCAGTGCCAGGAGTTTGCACCTCTGCTGGGCCACCTCTTCAGTTCTGCACTGGTGTGTTATGAACCAGGACAGTGTAGATACAGGTTAACAGTCAGGTCTTAGATTTGGCCACTTAAGCTGGGCTAGGTGCTTGAGACCTCCTCATTGAACAAAGCAGGGCTTGGGGCTGTGCTGTGACACACTGCTCTTTCTGCTCCCCACAGAATGTCTGGAGAATGCCAGAGTACCCTGACCATCTGTAAGTAGCTTCTGCCCCCTGCCCTGGCCATCCTCTCACTCAGCTTGGGGCTGAGGCTCCTGGTTGCTGGCACTGATGGAATAACCATGTCTTTTGTTTCCCCTGCAGCCGTGGTTGGCGGTGGCGTTAGTGCTGGAGGCATTGGTGGAGGATTGGGAAACTGCTCCGGGTTTGGCCTGGGCAGCAGCTTTGGCATCGGCTCTGGAAGTGGCTTTGCACTTGGCAGTGGTGTCAGCGGAATTTCCACCAGCAAGACTGTCTCTACCACCAAGCGGTCACACCGATAGAGGAGATGGGGTCCCTGCAGCCCCTGAGCCCAGCTGGGCTTAACCTGGTGTCCCTGTGCTTCCTTCACCCCCACCTCTACCTGCCCTCACTGGGGTTTATCTTACCAGTGTCACCTCAGTGCCAGGGCATGGATTCTGCCCTCTCAGAGTTTGGTAGCTTCTTCTAGACTTGGGCCTGGTGATCCACCTGGAATGGGAGGGGTGTCAGCTGACTCTTCACCTCCCATGCACAGAGGAGAATACAACCTGGAGCTTCCTCTCCAGAATTATCAGGGACACATGTCCCCTTCCAGCCCAATGCCATCTCCCAGATCCCTGATATCCCTTTACATCAGGACCAAACTCCTCCATTGCTTGGCAGCAACTGGCCCTGCAAGGGCGGGGCAAGAACTGCTGTGTCCCAGCCAACTCCTCTCCTCCTCTCTATCCACCTTCAGGTGAATCTTTAATAAAACGCTTTTGTCATTCCTTTGAGCAATTGTCCTTGTTCCTTGGGGAGAAGTCTCCAGAATTCAGGTGGCAGTGAAGGAAGCTGGGGTCTGAGGGATCTGTCTATATGGATCAAGGCCCTCAGCTAATTTCTCAGGTCTCTATTTCTAAGTTGCCCAGATTATTGAGGGAGAAGTGGAATGCATGGGACCCGAAGGCTGGCAGCAGAACAGGGGCACAGGCTTGAAATGACCAAGTGTGTGAAGATTGTCCCCTGGAGGCCTGCAGAGCAGGATCATTTCAGGGCTGAGCCTGCAGTGGGCCTGGAGGGAAGGGGCGCGAGTCTGGAGGTGTGGTCGGGGGCAGGTATAATGAGAGGCCATCAAGGGGTCTACACTGAATATAGAGCTAGAGGCTGTGGAGTTCATGGAGAGTTTGTATTCAGCATCTAGCCAGGCCTCCCTATTTTCACAAA